ACGGGGTGAAAATAAAGCATCAGAATTGCTCAAAAAAAAAAAGAAAAGAAAAGACAAGGCCCCGTCACGATATCTTTTGCCTGACCTTAGCTGGAATCGGCGGTTACATCGGAACCAGTGGCAGTGTCTCTCTTCTTCCATTCAAGGAAGTATAAAATTTGTGCTTTCCTTTCTTTCTTTGACTATTCGGTTCGGAAGTCAACTCACACTCGTTGTTTCTCCCTGAGCAACCCTCAATCCCCCTCTCGTTTACTCCGGTAGTTGCTTGTGTTTGCTCGAACACTGTCTGTTTGCTTCTCATCTTTCATTCAACTTTCATTGCACTTCGTCTTTTCATAAAACCATCCAATAATGGAGAGTCCCCAGCAGTCTGACGCAAGTACTCCCGTGGAGCTTTATTCTCCAGGATGCGTCGATACACCAGCGACGCAGTCATCCGTCTTGTTCGATGGAAATCTTGAAGAGTTGCTGCGCAACTTCCCCCTGGATCAATACATACTCGTCACCGGCGGGCTCGGTTTCATTGGAAGTCACACAACACTAGAGCTACTCAAGGCCAATTATAACGTAATCGTCATCGACAACCTTAGCAATGCTTTCCAGAACGTCTTCGATCGCATCAAACTCCTGGCTTCAAAGCACCATGAGCAACAAGGAACTAAAATGCCCGAGATGCATCTGCATGCCCATGATTACCGCGACAGTGATGCTCTTCGCAAACTTCTTGAGCAATATCAAATCCAGTCCAGGTGGGGTACACCAAAGACCAAGATCTCCGGCGTCATCCACTTTGCTGCCCACAAGGCGGTCGAGGAAAGTATCAGGAATCCTTTGAAGTACTACGCAAACAATGTCAGCGGCCTCATCGACTTTGCTACGACGTTGGGTGAGTTTGGTATCAAAACCTTCGTCTTCTCATCGTCCGCCACCGTATACGGAACTCTGGCAACCTCCGGTCTTCCCCTCAAAGAAGAGCTTTGTGTTCACAAGGATGAGATCTTCGAAGACCGTGACGGCTCCAAGAAGCTCATGGAGCCTGGATGTACAGGCATCACCAACCCCTATGGACGCACGAAATGGATCTGCGAAGCCATCTTATCAGACCTCGCGGCCTCCGATCCCGAGTGGACAATCGTGGCTCTACGATACTTCAACCCAGTTGGGTGCGATGAGTCCGGCCTTCTCGGTGAAGATCCCAAGCAAATACCTACCAACCTTCTTCCAGTTGTCGTCAAGGTCATGACTGGACAGTACAAGGAGCTGCAGATGTTTGGAACCGACTGGGACACGGCAGATGGCACAGCTGTTCGTGACTTCATCCACGTCACCGATTTGGCGCGGGGACATATCGCAGCCCTCAGTGCTGCCAACGAAGGGAAGCTCAAGGAAAATTTCCGCACATTCAACCTCGGAACTGGTACAGGCCATTCCGTAATGGAGGTGGTGAATACTATGGAGAGCGTGTCTTCCAAGAAAATCCAAAGAAGGGCTGCTGACCGCCGCGCGGGCGATGTCGGTTCCTGCGTTGCTGTGGCCACCAGATCACAGGAGGAGCTGCAGTGGAAGACAGAGAAGACACTGACCGATGCCTGTGCCAGTCTGTGCAATTTCCTAGCTGTCAGCGGGCTTTCTTCTTAGGCCGTTGATCTCCTTTCACCCCATTACTTTCTTTCTTCCTTTCCTTTCTTTTTCTTTTTTTTTTTTTTTTACTTTTTTCCTTTCTAATCTCACTCTTTCTGTCATAGGGTGGCGCTTAGCGGTGTACTTTTCGTCTTTCTTCTTGTTCTTTCCCCCCATTTCATCCCTTGATAATGCCTCTTTCTTTCCACATTGAGAACATTCCGGTAACGTTGGTTCTTCTGTTTTTTGCATGATAGAAGGGAAATCCTTTATAAGGCATTCACAATGCAGCCTGTATCTAATATCGGTGTAGCATAAGTATATTCTCTAACGTTATGTTGTGAAGATGTTGAAGACTGATATGAGGAGCAGAGAACACCTGTGTCTTTTATAATAGTTAATTGTCAATTAAAAGAATCTTTTCGTGTTTCCCAGTTGCCTGATTCCGAAGCGGTAGTTCTAATCAGAACCTATCCCGAACCACAAGTGCATTGGCATAGTAGTACCGATAATTATTCTGAGTGCTATGCTTTCTAGGCGTGTCAGGAACCAAATGAGCAAAGAAGGAGCCTCGTTACCTGCATTCTGTACCTTTGGGGGAAGGGAGAGTGGACAATTAAATGTTTTCGTGAACTGTGTCCCGGTCAGCTTAGTCATGCCATTCAGATCATTTATTTCCAACCCCTCCACCGCAGATCACAATGCAATACCGACATTCCAACCAGGATTAATACCTCCACATGCAACAGGGAAAACCAATCACCACACTACAGGAGAATTCCGAATTTGTTGGCAGGGCAGATCAACAGGGTTCACGAAATGAGGCCCGCATCGTCTCACTCTTGGGGCTTACCCGAAGCAAGAAACTCTGAATAAGGGTAGAGATCGGCATCACAACCGCTAATTGCTTCTTCTTCTCTAGCCTAAATGGGTCGCATTGAAATACACCGCACTGGGTTTATTCTAGCCCGGAATCGACCCCATGTGTCACCGCTGCGAAATGCGAAGAGCATCCAACGAGCCTACAATGCATATCGCCGGAAGTCGGTTGCTTCCTAGACGGTTCGCGAGAATCTAGAAGATAAGGAAATGTCTAACATGCCTTAGTCTTGCATGGCTATCTAATGCTTTGGGCTTGATCTGATAGTGTGTTTGAGCCCTATTCGCTATATTACCATTATATCTTTGATGCTTGAGAAATCTCATCCTGCTCGGAGGGCCTATCATCTTCGGACCATGTAATATATATACCATACGATTTAGAAATCTGTATACCGTAAGAAAATAGTATGCAACTATGGTTCCTATCACCAGCTATTATCTTCACTCTTAAGGCATTTCAATCATAGGTGGCGCTTGGGTGTTAACAGACGTCTCCGGGCATATCTAAGTTGGTGTCAGTGGTTTGACGAACTTGCCAACCTGAACATGTTCACTGGTTCAATTTAGTAGCCATTCCATGAGCTCCCCAACATCTCGCAACGAAGGTACTGTAATATGTGGTTTCAAGTTATTCCAATAGTGTCCTCTGGTAATATTAGATACACACCATGTTATGTGCGCCGAAGCAGTGATTGTGTAAAATGTATAAACCGTAGACAAGCATGGCAAAGAAGACCTGAAAAACAAGGCGAACTTCAAAGAACCTACAAAAGCATGTGCACTTTTACATAGCCAAGTGGCATTCTTACTATAGGTCACTAAGCGACTTCGTTGTGGCTTACTATGTGCTAGTTAAGTATCCATAAATATACTGCAAAACAGATCTAATAACAGTAGTACTGCTATACTTGACCCAGCTTTCCGCTCCCCACCCGACAACAACAATGATATATGTAGAAAGGCTGAATATACACTGAACATGATCGAGCTACTAGTAGTTCCTCTTTTTAGCAATACTGATGCCTGAATGCGTCTTGTATCTTTTCACGCCTAATTGGAACACATCTCGATGTTTATATCACGTGACAACAACCAATGATTCTGCAGATTTCCTTTTAGGTCCATGGTCTAAGATGTGAACATTACCTACATATGCCGAATTAATCTCCTTATGAACAGCAGCTCTTTTTCATATATACTATAAATAAGCTAATGTATACTGCCGGGATGTTTCCAAACATTGCCCGGTATGCATGGTCATGTGACTGTGAACTCCGGCTTGGCATCAAATTCATCCCGCAGTTTTCTTGTAGCTTGCTCCGTGCCAGGCAGTTACCTTTTATTATCATCACAAGACTGCTTCAGCGGGTTTCTGGACACAACAAGGAGGTGGAAAGACCAATTGATTCTATGCTGTCTTTCTTAATTTGAATATCTTCCCGGAATACGCAATAATGATCTGCCAGCGCTGCCGAACCAGCCTCCTTTCTCGGCTGCAACCGCAACACACGGTTACTTTCTCTGCCTCGTCATGTGCACGCCAGCTTCCAATTCACCGAAGCCAGTTCCGGAGCTACAGTGATGGCAAGCCTACAGTATCCGCTACGCCGCCTCCTCCTACTCCCCGCCAGCCTGTCGCAGCGGACATCACGATCCCGTCGGCAGTTTCATCAGCAACTCCCGGCGTGTCCCAACCGTTCAGCACACCGGAAGAAGTAAATGTTGATGTGTCTTCTAAGAAGCCCACAAAGCCTGCTGTGGAACGTCCACCAAGCTCCTGTCCCGCTGGAACGAAGCTGAACGGCCTCAACTACTTCAAGAATAAGCCTGATATCGTCGCCTTGGAAGACTCTGAATACCCGGAGTGGCTGTGGTCGTTGTTAGATGATGCTAAGAAGCAATCGAAATCTGAGGGCGGAGTGGATCCGAGCAGTATGTTTATTTTGCTTTATTAGTAGCCCTTGGGCAATGCTAACTGTGCCTTTTCCAGCTCTGAACAAGAAGCAACGCAAGCGCTATGAGAAGAAGATGGCTGCTCGCGCTGCAACCCTCCCTCCTAAGATCCCTGTTCACCACCACGCTATTGATATCACTCCTGCATCGTACAACCGCGGCGGCCAAGCAGCTGATGATCTTCTGGTCGAGGCCGCTGAGAGTCTGGATAAGCGCTCCGAGATCACGAAGAGCGCGAGAGAGGCGCGGAGGAAGGCCATTAGAGAGGCTAACTTCCTCCGCGGTCTGTGATTTTAGGGAGCCTTCGTTTGGTGCCGGTTTGTCCCATTCTATGGTGTTTTAACAAGGCTCTCCATGTACAATTGTGTTGACTGTTTTTGATGTAGAAAGGCCCGCTCGGGATATTTCAGATGTATTTTATGGAACTTTGTACTCATCTTTCTTATAATTCCCAGGCAAGGCGCTGAATGAAATTTGCTCTTCTATCTGTGGGGTTGCTCTATTGCTATATACTAAACACTGCGATTAACCAACTCGCGCATGCCTGAAGTCAGGAAACGGGAATTCCCATCTAACTGCTGATGAACCCTGTCCAGGTCATTTAGGGATATCCCAATCCTTGATCTCACCTTGACCTTCCACCCATGGCAAACAAGCGTCAAAGAGTGCCTTCACTTCGCCCTCCCCGATACTCACCAGCCCTTGGAAAAGCGTGTTATGGGTCTTCTCGACCCAAGCCAAGAAAGAGACGATCAGAATATCCGCATATCCTGGATTCTCACCCTCGAGGAAAGGCCCCCTTTTCCCATGCCGGCCTCTTAACATTCGCGCAACAGGCTCCATTTCTTCACTCGCTGCCTTGATTATCTCCTGTACCTCGCTCTCTTCCTTGGGATATACCTCCGGCAGATGCTTTCCGAACATCACAGACCGAGTCCTGACAAAGTACTCTTGGCCTCTGGGGTCAAGCAGATCGGCGACTTTAGGAATCAAAATGGCTTCGCCTTTCTCGGTGACGTTACCGAGGAGCTTGATCATCGCGAGCGTGAGCGCATAACTGGCATCGCCGGAGGGGAATAGAGGTGGCGAGGGAAAGGTCTGGTCCAGATGCGTGGCGATGGCGAGGGAGTCCTGCATCGCACCGTGGACGTTCGAATCGATGGAGGGTTTGTGCAGAATGGCGGGGAAGGTATATTGAGCCCCTGAGGCGTGAGGGTTAACGCCGTAATGGGAAAGTAAAGGAGCAATATCCGGATAGGAAATGTAAGATTGTGTGTAGGGAATGCCCTTAAAGTTCAAGACCATGCGGGTCTTGAAGGTATTAACGGACCATGCCTTTGCCGGCCCTGGGGACAGCGCGTTAGTCAGTAGTCAGCGTTTACGGACGACGAACATAGCTCCTTGCCATCGAGAATACGGTCAAGGACGACAGACATACCGGGAAGAGTTGAAGTAATATCAAAAAAGTGAACAGGAGTGTCGGTGGCCATGATTAGTTCTGGTCAAGATGCAGCGCAGGCAGGGTTGCTGTGAAGATGGAGGGGAATAATCTCTAATCTGGTGGAGGGAGGGGTTGTCTTGCATTATGCTTATATAGCTTTAACTTTTCGGAGCCGACGTTGTTGGGAGCTTTATCGTGAAGATGGATCCTGTCTCTCATCTTGGGATATTTCAGGTTTGTAGTATACAAGTCCGGTCTCCTATTGGTGCACCCAGCAAAAACTGGCGAATAAACTGATTGTAGTGGAGTCGAATGGTGCATTAAGTGGTCATCCTCGTATCTCTCTATTGAATTGGGTATGATTGGTCATGTTTAGTATATTGTCCGTGTATCTCTTCACTAATACTATTTAACAATAGATACTTGGGTTGGTTAAATCCCACGACACCTTAGGCTGCCATCTTAGGCGGTTGTTGTTGATCGATCTGGAGGGGGAAAACACAAATGGAAATCAAGTGACTCATCTGACTGTTTGTCGAAAGAGGAAAGTGATTTAGTTCAACACCACGAGGACTTTCGATCTGAATTCTGAACCCACACAACTAAAGCAACATTTGTCTCCCTTTACTCCCCCCTCTCCCTTCCATATGATAATATGATATGTCACGTTCATCTGCATCTTGACTTGAGTTGTTGTCGTGGCCGTCCCGCACTACGAGAAATGGCGGTCTCTAGGCAACAGTCCGCCTTACTATGCTTTTCAGAAGGCTGGAGGGGAGGCAACATAGCCTTGGATCCAGATTGGATATCAGATCAAATCGTCTTGGGGGGATTGCGTATCGGCTGATCAGCGAACAGAACCCAAAACAGCCCAAGTGGAGTGGACCAGAAAAGCAATGGTCAGAACTCCGCCAACTCAACACTTGTTCTTTCCGTCTTTGTCTCTTTTCTGTCCATCCCGTTTGATATATACATGTTTCGTCCTTCTCCTTCCCCTTTCCCCATACCCTTCTTTTCTTTGTTTTAACTTTCAGTCCTTCGACTGTGTCTACTCCGAAGGGTACACCGCATAGCATTATATCTTTCCATCGTTCTCCCGACTTGGCGGTAACACGGCGTGGCGATCCTCTCGTACACCCGCGACAAGGGAACAAAAGAAAAGAAAAGGGGAAAAGAAGACATCTACGTCATTTGTACTCCATTATCAGCAATTGAGCTGCATCTAAGGCTCGTGTCTAATGTGCTGTGTCCTTGCCTAACCAATCGACTTAATTGAGGGAAAATGGACAACCTTGCCGATCGTACTGATCAAATCACGCTCAATGACTCGTCGAAGTGCCTAGACTCGAAGACTTCATCGGACTTTGCACCCTTTGTTGCGTCTCACCTGGAGGTGGTTTACGGCTCGCTCAAAGCCTTGCCTGGGGTCGACTTCCTCCGGGACATCCAACATGAGACTCCTAACGACGACAGTAAGAATGGGGCTGCAGACCCCCTCGCTTCCTTAGCAGCGCTTCGAGAGTATATGGCTAGTCCAGCCTCTTCGGCAATGGGACCTGTCAAGCAGCAGAACTATTCAGCACCCATTAGTGACTATTTCATCTCTTCGAGCCATAACACTTACTTGACTGGGAACCAATTGTACAGCGATTCAGACGCGAGTGCTTATACAAACGTACGCATTTCCCCTAGTACTCCATAGTGGATCCACCTGAAAATCCCCTGTTATCAAGGCGCGTTCTGGTCCACGGAGTATTGGATGGTTCCTTCAATAGAGTGTAACCATGCACTTCCTTGCCCCGTGCATCAGACACCGGCGTCAAACCCTAACCCAGACACTCATGTCTAAGTGACAATAACTAATAGCATTTTAGGTCCTTCTAAATGGATGTAGATGTGTCGAGATCGACGTATGGGATGGTGAGCGAAGCTCCGAAAGCCCATCTGCTGATGACACAAGCAGTAGTAGTAGCGATTCAGTCTCCGAGAGGAAGGTAAAAGACGGGTCAAAAAGGGAAAGGCTGAAAAGAATGGCTAAACGACACTCACGCTTGGGATCCGTATCAACCAAACTGGGGGGTCTCCTAGGCCGCAAGTCGTCTCCTGAGGACGTGCCTCTCAACAGCAGTGCCCTGGTGGATCCTGCGACTGAGGTCCTGCCAGTTCCAGAGCCCAAGGTGCTTCATGGTCACACGCTTACAAAAGAGACTACATTTCGAGATGTGTGTTATGCTATCCGGGATAGTGCTTTTGTTACAAGTGACCTACCGGTGATCGTTAGCCTGGAAGTGCATGCATCTCTGGAACAACAACAGGCAATGGTGGAGATCATGGAGGAGTCCTGGAAAGGTATGCTGGTGGAAGTCACACCCGAGAAGGAGGCGACTGATCCACTGCCTGCACCGGAGGATCTAAAACGAAAGATCCTGATTAAAGTGAAATACGTGGCACCGACGAGCGAAGACAAGAATGAGAAGACACCAGACGGCAATGGCGATGAGCTTGAGGCACTCAAGCGGCACGCCAATCAAGACGACTCGAGTAGCACTGACAACAAGCCATCGGATGCACCCCCAAAGAAACCGTCAAAGATCTTAGAAGCTCTCAGCAGACTGGCTATATTCACTAAAGGGTTCCACTTCAGTCACTTTGAACAACCAGGTAATTCCTCTGATTGAATTTACCCGAACCTAAGGAAAACGGTTCTTTAACTGTATGTGTAACAGAGGCCAAAGTACCCGGACACGTGTTTTCACTATCAGAAAGTGCGGCCCGAGCAGCGCATGCGAAAGACCCCGAAGCCCTGTTTGAACACAACCGCAAACATTTCATGCGGATTTACCCATACGGTCTGCGGGTGGATTCCTCCAATCTCGACCCCAGCTTCTTTTGGCGCCGGGGCGCGCAGGTGGTGGCGTTGAACTGGCAGAACTTCGATAAAGGAATGATGCTTAACAGCGCCATGTTCGCCAACGAGCAAGGTTGGGTACTCAAACCGCAAGGATATCTGAGCTCCGATGCAGCCTCTGCCATCGTGCGTCGCCAGATGGACCTTTCGATAGAGTTTCTCGCAGGCCAGAACATCCCCTTGCCTTCAGGACACACCAACGAGAAGCATTTTCACCCCTACGTAGTCTGTGACTTGCACGTCGAGACGCCCGAGGACATTACTTCGCCTCACGCGGAAGACGAGGGCGAGTCAGAGACCGAGAACTACAAACAAACGATCAAGAGTGCCTCGGGAGCCAGTCCAAACTTTGAAGGCCAAATGGTTCAGTTTCCAACTTTAACTGGGCTAGTTGAAGAGTTATCTTTTGTCAGGTATGTATTTCTTCTCGGCGGCAGTTGCCTTCCGATCCCTCAAGCGACGATCCTAAGCCTTCAACCAAGGTACGAATAAACTAACGACCCCACAGATTCAAAATTAAAGACGATGAATTCGGACGAGACTCGACGGCCGCCTGGGCTTGTATAAAATTAGACCGCCTCCAAGAAGGCTACCGCCTAGTCCACCTGTACGACTGTTCAGGAGCAAAAACCGATGGCGTCCTGCTGGTTCGTATCATCAAACGGATCACCTAACTTGTTTGTGTTCGACGTTCTGAAGTCATCTGAGTGGCAAAAAAAAAAAATGAAAATAAAAATAAAAAAATAAAAAATAAAGATAAAATTGAAAGGAGACAGCGAAGAAGCAAAAAGCCAGGGAAAACCCGGATGGAAAAAGAAAAGATGGTTGAAAGTCGACATTGCAGATAAGCCGGGCAGAATGCCAACGCATATGCAGCTGATTTCTTAACTCGGTGATTTCGTACGTCTGTGCGTCTTTTTATCGGTTTATCATGGATCTCAATTGTCATTCCAGCTGGTTCGCATCAAAATAATACACATTTTCCCCAAGAACATCAATCGTCCCTCCCTGGCTTCCCAGCCAGCCACCAAACCGGTTATTTTGGATTAATGATTTCAATCCAGCACACACCACACTTCATAGATTCATTTAAATCCTAGTTTTTGGCGCGAACATGACTCGGTTGTTTGATTTAACATACGACTACAGATTTGGTTAGCACCGGTTTGTACGGAGTAGAACGAGGGTGAATAGTCTAAATTAAAAAGTGCGGCCACGTCCACCACCAAGGTTCCAACATAAACCGCAGTACCGGAGACAGGGTAGATTCCAAATCACGATAAACAGCTGCCAATTTAGATTTAGGTTATGTATCTACGGATAGGTCATGCGTTTTGGATCTCCATAGGCTCGAACGCAGTATTGGGATGGAAATGGAGGGAGTATCCCCACTTGAAGAACGAAACTTGGCCCTTTGGACATGTATCGGTGTCAGGATACCTTTTCCACCTCAGAAAAACAATCCACATGACGTAAAAATTAATATGCTGTGTTCTCAGATTTAGCCGTTCTCGTGTTACGGACGGAGATAAGGGGTCGAACGTAAGGAGGAAGAAAATTGAGAAGATAAAAAAAATTTTTTTGCAAGAAATTGACACCTACACACACAAAAAAAAGGGAGGGGTAACAAGAAAGGGAAAGAGGAAATAGCCGGACCCATTCTGATTTGATAGATGATCACCCGAAATTACTCAGACTCGACCTGTCAATTTGGATCAATATCGATAGGAAGAAGCTGCCTCTCAAGCGTGGCTTCCTTGGCGTTGGAGACCACACTAGCCCGACGCATGCCAGCTAGTTCAAGAATCGTTTTCCAGGTATTGCAATTGCCTAGTCGTCGCCAACCGTTAACAAGCGGCACCGCAAAAATGGCAGGAGCCTAGAGTAGTACCAACTGGTAACACTTTGTGGAAGCAAGCAGCCACCTGCAAGATATCGGAGAATAAGTGCTGGCAAGGCCGGGACAGCTCGCAGATTATGACCAAAACATTACAGGGAAAAACCCTGAGAAGGGACCATTTTCTATGTATCCAATTCCGGGTTAATCATTAACCAATATGTGAGAAATACACCAAGCAACCTCAGAGGTGGGGCCGAGATACTGATAGAGTTCAGTTTCGTAACCCAGCTCAACCCAGACAGACGGCAGTCTGCAGGTGGCTGAGGTGACTGTACCTAAGAAGGGAAAAGGGAAAAGGGGTTTTGAAGGTGTATTCCATTGTTGAAGCATCCATCACCTCACCCGTACCCGAAGCGCCGGCACTGATCTGCGCAGAAACTTGACAAGGGTGCCACTCGCCGCGATCTTGCTATTGGTCCATTTTGATTGGGACTGCATATCCTGTGAAGCACCATGTTCAGAATAGGGAAGAAAAAAGGATAGAGATCATACGCATACATCTCCACAATGCCACAAATGGCAATGACAAGGAAGAGGGAGAGAGGAATATCGAACCATAAAAAAAAAATTAAGAATTGAAGGCGAACTGAGAGAAAGAGAG